CAAATTGGAAAGGAAGAAGTATAATTGTCTCTGTTTGCTGATTACGTGTTCTTATATTTAGGAAATTTTAGGAAGAACTGAGCTTTCCAACCCTGGAGGCATGTAAGCAGAGTATATTTGAATGGTGCACTGAAGTGCTAAATGGGAAGCAGGACTAGGTGATCTCTTAAGATACTTCCAACCCTGGAATTTTCTACTGATATTATAAGAGACACTTTGAGGTGATAAATGGAGTATGCCAAAGAAGTGGTAGAAAGAATGAATGCTCTATGTTGACAGGAGAGGTAGAAAACTTTATGCCAAAAGGGTCAAGAAGCCTTTGTAGAAGAAGCAACACTGGAGTTTTGATGCAGGTGCTGCACAGTATATAAGAGCAAGCACTGGGCTGGGAAACACCTGGTTGTAAAGCCTGGCTCTGCCAGGCACTGATTGTGTGACTTCAGCAAATTTACATACTTCTTTGGGATTACAAGGTTGGCAATTGTTCTTAACTTACAAGATGTTTTTCTTTGCTTTCTGGTTTTTGTTTGTTTGTTTGTTTGTTCTTTGATTCTGAAAAGAATGGTGTGCTATAGAGATGTGAAGCATTACTGTTAAGGTGCAAGCTCACCATTGGAGGACTTTCACTTTTCTTGGTGATCCATGGTCTATAAAACTCTGCTATTATAAAACAGTACTCCACAAAGGCAAACACACACACATGCACACACACACACACACACATGCAGACACACACAAAATATACACTCACCCATTTGGATACTGTCAAATCTCACCCACATAAAAATAATGAACACAAAACAAATGAACACAAAAACACATACACTTAAATTTGCACACACACACACACATACACAGACACATAGTCTTGCACAAACACATGTGAACCACACATATAGTCAACAGCATAAGAATTACTAAATCCAAAAGATGAGGAAAAGCCAGCTGCCCAGTTGCTGTTCCACGACCAGCCACTCTGTGAAAGCAAAGCTCACTCCAGCCTCCTTGTAGTGAAGGCTAATAATTTTATATTGTCACTGTATCCATTCTGCATGCAAGCTTAGCTTTCTCATGCCAGAGACAGTGTGCAGTCACCGTTGACACAGTTTCCAGTTCTACACCACACCGAAATGGCTCGAGCCAGTGGCAGACATAAGAACTTAGAGGTATCTCTCCCACCTAGTGGACTGGGCTCCCCACTTTCCAGCTGCTTCCTTTAAAGGAACCATTCAGCCATTTGCCTGCAAACTTAAAATGACCCATACCCTATCCTCCAGTACATGATGGTATTTTCTCTCCCATGCATTCCCTGACCTCCATGTATGTGCAGTATAGCCCCCAGGATGTGTAAGTACTAAAAACTCTTAAACTTCCATGTTGTGGTTGGTGTCATCAAAGCTGTGCAGTAATCCAAGCCCTGACTAAGAGGCCTCCTGGAAGGGACCCAGGCAGATTCTCTTTTATTCACACCTCTGGAGGCTGTTGGGAATAATAGCTACCAGCTAAGTTGATAGAATTTCATTCAAAACACCCCTTCAGCCAACAACATCGAATAAACCCAGTCCGCCAAGCACTCACCCTTCTTATGTCAACCATAATCTGGGCCTTTCTCTTTCTGACCTATTTCACATTCACAGCCTCATTTTACCACTTTCTTCACAATTTCAGAGGAAGCAAAGCAAAAATTGCTCAGAGAGGGAAGTGAGAATGGTAAGAGAAAGACAAGGTAGAGGGAAGGAGACAAGAAGAGGAAACAATTAAAGTCCTTTTATCCATTCATTTTTCATTCATTCAACAAATAATTGAATGCCAGACTTTATGGTAGGTGTTGGGAATTCAACCATGATTAATAAGCAAGTCATCTTTTCTCCTTAAGTTTATAATGTAATTGGGCAAATAATCAAGTAATTATAATTTTAAAATTATTTTAGTATTCTGGTCTTGGTTCAGGATTAAAATTGTGAATTTGATGGGATATCACTAGCTCAATAATCTTGAGCTCATCTCAATTTTCTAACCTGTGAAATGGGCACAATAAATACCAACCCTCCTAAAGTTGGGAGGATTCAGGGAGATGTTGAACAAAGTACTTATCTTAGTGCCTGGTATAGGAAGTAGATGCCCAATGTTTTCTGATTGGAAAAAAAAAAAAAAAAAAACTACTGAATGCAAGTCTTGGAAGAGAGCAGAGACTGTAAGCCCCCACTACAGATCACAGGTGAATGCTTAGCTTCTTGGCAGTGTCAGGGATTTAGAACAACTTAAAGATAAAATTCTGAGTTATAACCAAAGGTAGCCCTCTTAGAAGCCACCTTTTTCAAATGTTCCTGCATGCTTGAATCATTACCAATTCTCTCTTCTCCAGCACCAGTTAATGAAGACTATCTCAGTACATCTCAATAGAAAAGACAATTGTTTGAATTTCCTCATCGCAGTTTCAGAGATACTATATTTACAGACCAAGGCCTTCAAACATGAGACCTGTAGGCCTTCCCAAATAAAGAAAGGTCAAATCCTCTTCAGAATAAACTAACCCTTTGATAAATGATTTTGAAGGTTCAACTCAGAGAATCAGAAACTCTTTCCAACTACAATTTGCTATCTTTTCTTTCCCCAAATCATACAAAAATCACACAAAGATGAACACTGGAAAATCACTAAATAACGAAACCTCCCAAAGCCTTCCCAAGCCAGATGACACCGAATCTCCAAAGACATTAGAAAATCCCAGTTTCCCTCCTCTGTCATACTATCCCAACAAAGGGTTAAGTCATGCACCTACCTGTGTACAGGTCAGTGTCTGTGTATTCATCCACTTTCTTGTGTTGCAGAATATAGTCAGAGACCTTCGTTCCAATAGCTGGCTGAACATCCACCCACTCCAAGGAGACCACGGTGCTAGAGGGCTCCACTGTTGGTGACAGCCGCAGCCTACAGGGGTGACAGGGAAGGTTGCTTGTTTGCCAGCCAGCACTGGCTGGGGCCCAAAAGAGTCTGCATGTGTCAAGATGAAGCATAGATTTCAGCCTGGGTTCAAATCCTGGCTCCACCTACCACTTACACCTTGCATGGCCTTCGGTGACTAGTTTCACCTCACATGACCTCTGTTTCCTCATCCATGAAGTGAGACTATGAAGACCCACCTTTCCAGATTAGTGTGGAATTCAGTAAATTAATCTATGCACGCAATATGTGCTAAATGATAATTGATTAGTTTTCCATTCATTAAACTATATTCTCAGTGATGTTTCATTTTCAGTTAAATTGGCAGTGCTTTCAAACCCAGGAGCTTTCAATCTTTCTGCCATTCCCTTCAATCCCCCAATTTGTCAGTCAACTGTTTAATATCCTTAAGTCAATATTTTCTCAAAAGGATCAAGGATCCTGAATGAATCTTTTTGTAAAGCAAGAAAAACAAAACAAAACAGAACAAAATGATTGAAGGTTACATCGGGAATGATTCCTAGGTAGAATGAAGTATAATTTCCTCATTTCATAAAATGGGGAAAGTAAGGTCTAGAAAAGGGAAATGGTTTGCACAAAGTCACACAGCAAGTTGGGGACAGAACCATGATGGTAACTTTGTTTATCCCTAGCCCAGATCTTTTCTTTCTTTCCACTGTACCACCCTGTCTCTTCACCCCTCAAAGGTGTATGATAGGACTCTGTTTCCCAACATTGGCACCTGCCCACCTCTCCTATGCTCTACACAACACTTCTTCCTCTTAATCACTCTCTTCCAACCAAGATGAACTTCCTTTATTCCTCCAATGGGAATTTCCTGACCTTCTATAAATTGTCAGCTCCCTAAGTGCATGGACTGCACCTATCTTGTTCCTTGTTATATCTCCCAGGGCCTGACACGTAGCAGGTGTTTAAAGTTATTTATTGAATAAATGAATGACATGAAGCTCCTTATAAGAAGATATACACTTTCTTTATCTCAATAGCCCCAGTGCCCAACACAGGAACTGACAAGCCCAATAAACCTTTGCTAAATGGATGACTGAAGGAAGGAATGATGGACCGAGTGGCATCATTTAAAATAGCACCCACTGCCTATCAGCATCTACCCTTGCACCAAGCTTCTGTTCTGTCAAAGTTCCTTCCTTCCCAAAGAAGGAGGTAGTGGGCCCCAGAGGCTTCAGGAATCTGGTCTGGCATTACAGGAACAGAAGCAAGTCATAGGCTGGCAGGACAGGAGTGGGAGTTCATGAAAAGGGTTGACCAAAGGAAGTGGGGCCATACATACGTACACCGGCTGTGGAAGGGGGCTGCAGTTGGGGAGCCCACTGGTATCAAAGGCGCTGAGGTCACACCTGCACCAGTCATCGATCACGTCCCCTTTCCCTGAGCACCAGTAGGAACTCATCAGTGCACTCCTGAAGGCCTGGAATAAAGGAGGACAGAAGAGACAATAATAATGACAACTGTGGAGAGACTGAGAGTAATGGTGCATATGGCCATGGCAGTAGTCAACCAAGGCTTCAGAGAAGCCCCGCTAGGCACGGGACACCATCTCTTTCCTAAATCCCTAGCACCCTACCATCAGGTTCTCCCATCCTGTTCCATTACCTACCCAGCAGCCGGAATGATCATGGAGACACAATAGTAACAGCATCCATTAAGCACCTGCCCTGGGCCTGCTAGGCACAGGACACCATCTCTTTCCTAAATCCCTAGCACCCTACCATCAGGTCCTCCCATCCTGTTCCATTACCTACCCAGCAGCCAGAATGATCATGGAGACACAATAGTAACAGCATCCATTAAGCACCTGCCCTGGGCCTGGCTTACTACCTGTATGAACTTATCTAGTCTTCACAACAACCCCACGCAATAGATATTATTATTATCATCTTCCATTTTACAAATTGGCAAACTGAGGCAACAGAAAATAAGCACACACACTCACAGCTGGTAAGTGACACAGTTGGGAGCTGATCCAAGGCACTCTGGCCCCAGAGCCTGTTCTCTTAAACACTTTGCTACACCGCTTCTTATAGAAGTCTGACCATCTCACTGCTCTGCTTTACAACCTTCAGAGTCTTCCTACAGTCCTCAGGATAAAGTCTAAACTCCTTGTTCTATCTCCTGATCACCTGCCTAGTCTCATCTCTTACCACTCCCCTGATCTTCTTTGCACAGTAGCGTTCACTCTCATGCAACCATGAACATCTCCACCAACAGTGAATTCCTGTTTATATAAAGTGTGCTCTAAATCAGGAAATAGCAAACTGTTTCTATAAAGGGCCAGATAGTAAATATTTTTGGCTTTGCAGCCAGGTAGTCTCTGCCATAATTACTTAATACTGCCTTTGTAGCATAAAAGTGGCATTGACAATACTTTAAATGAATGGACATGGTTTTGTTCCAATAAAACTTTATTAACAAGGGCAGGAAGCAGATTGGGTCTGAGGGTCTGAGGGCCAGAGTTTGCTGACCTTTGCTGTAAATGATGATCAATATTTATTTAATTGCAATGTGCTTCACTGTCCTTTTTTTTTTTTTAAACATATCCTGTCTTCTGCCTAATATCCTCCTCTTTGCATTTCAATTCACTCTTTTGGTCTCAAATGAAGCATTCCTTTCTCTGGGAAAACCCACCCTGACTTTCTTAAGCCTGGGATCGTGCTCCTCTCCTGAATACCATAACAGGCTAGACCACTCTGACCGTTACATTTCCTTGCCTGTCTCACCCAGCAGACACTGATCCCCCCAAAGGCAAGGGCCAGACCTTATTCACATGAGGATTGTCATGGGAAATAACACAGTTATTCAGTCAATATTTAGTAAATAAATGAATGGGCACTGAAAAACTGATCATTAATATCCGGCAGTCAACAGAACTTGGAAGGCATTTCTTTGGTTCAGTTCAGGACAGGCTTCAAGTCTTACCTTCTACTTTCATCCCCTCCCTCAGGCTCAGGTGTGAAAGATACCTTCACCATGGTCTGGATGCTTGAGTGAATGGAGTGGTTAAGTCACTCCATTCACACTGACATTTCAAGGCATCGGGATTCAGAATGTATGAAAGCTCTCTTTAAAACTTAAGGATTCCAGAGAACATTGATCTCTTATTCCTTTGCCAGGTATGTGTTTGTCAGCTCTATGCATAGTGCAAGGTGCTTTAAGTGCATTAAAAGATGTAATCCTCACTACAGTCCTGAAATACAGATATTATGATCCCCATTTACAGATGAGAAAACTAGGAATCAGAGCAGTGAAACAATTTTCCCAAGATCACACAGCAAGGAAATGATAGAAGCGGAATCCCAACACAGATTTCTATGACTCCTAAGTGCAAGTATGTTCAGTTCGACCATGCAGAGTAGTGTGATTAACCCCAAGTAGAGTTGCCAGATTCAGTAAATAAAAATATAGGATGCCCACTTAAATTTCACTTATTTTTAGTATAAGTATATTCCATGAAATATTTGCATATAAAGTCTCTGGGGCAGGATCTGGCACACAGGAGGGGCGCTGTTCCTACTACGTGCCAGAACCNAGACTGAGAGTAATGGTGCATATGGCCATGGCAGTAGTCAACCAAGGCTTCAGAGAAGCCCCGCTAGGCACGGGACACCATCTCTTTCCTAAATCCCTAGCACCCTACCATCAGGTTCTCCCATCCTGTTCCATTACCTACCCAGCAGCCGGAATGATCATGGAGACACAATAGTAACAGCATCCATTAAGCACCTGCCCTGGGCCTGGCTTACTACCTGTATGAACTTATCTAGTCTTCACAACAACCCCGCGCAATAGATATTATTATTATCATCTTCCATTTTACAAATTGGCAAACTGAGGCAACAGAAAATAAGCACACACACTCACAGCTGGCAAGTGACACAGTTGGGAGCTGATCCAAGGCACTCTGGCCCCAGAGCCTGTTCTCTTAAACACTTTGCTACACCGCTTCTTATAGAAGTCTGACCATCTCACTGCTCTGCTTTACAACCTTCAGAGTCTTCCTACAGTCCTCAGGATAAAGTCTAAACTCCTTGTTCTATCTCCCTGATCACCTGCCTAGTCTCATCTCTTACCACTCCCCTGATCTTCTTTGCACAGTACCGTTCACTCTCATGCAACCATGAACATCTCCACCAACAGTAAATTCCTGTTTATATAAAGTGTGTTCTAAATCAGGAAATAGCAAACTGTTTCTATAAAGGGCCAGATAGTAAATATTTTTGGCTTTGCAGCCAGGTAGTCTCTGCCACAATTACTTAATACTGCCTTTGTAGCATAAAAGTGGCATTGACAATACTTTAAATGAATGGACATGGTTTTGTTCCAATAAAACTTTATTAACAAGGGCAGGAAGCAGATTGGGTCTGAGGGTCTGAGGGCCAGAGTTTGCTGACCTTTGCTGTAAATGATGATCAATATTTATTTAATTGCAATGTGCTTCACTGTCCTTTTTTTTTTTTTAAACATATCCTGTCTTCTGCCTAATATCCTCCTCTTTGCATTTCAATTCACTCTTTTGGTCTCAAATGAAGCATTCCTTTCTCTGGGAAAACCCACCCTGACTTTCTTAAGCCTGGGATCGTGCTCCTCTCCTGAATACCATAACAGGCTAGACCACTCTGACCGTTACATTTCCTTGCCTGTCTCACCCAGCAGACACTGATCCCCCCAAAGGCAAGGGCCAGACCTTATTCACATGAGGATTGTCATGGGAAATAACACAGTTATTCAGTCAATATTTAGTAAATAAATGAATGGGCACTGAAAAACTGATCATTAATATCCGGCAGTCAACAGAACTTGGAAGGCATTTCTTCGGTTCAGTTCAGGACAGGCTTCAAGTCTTACCTTCTACTTTCATCCCCTCCCTCAGGCTCAGGTGTGAAAGATACCTTCACCATGGTCTGGATGCTTGAGTGAATGGAGTGGTTAAGTCACTCCATTCACACTGACATTTCAAGGCATCGGGATTCAGAATGTATGAAAGCTCTCTTTAAAACTTAAGGATTCCAGAGAACATTGATCTCTTATTCCTTTGCCAGGTATGTGTTTGTCAGCTCTATGTGCTTGCTTGCTTGCTTTTTCCTTTATGTATTTTTTACTTTCTGTGTGCTTTTTAAATGAAAGTAGCATGCTGCTTATAAGCAAGAACTCCTGATTACTCAGATGTCACTTTTTCCAGCCTGCATTGTTCAAAGATTCAAGTATGCATGTTTGTGTAAAGTGGGTTTGTGGAGTCCCTCCTTAACTACCCAGAATATAGATCCAAAAGGAAAAGGTGTGTATAAAGAATGCTGTTATGTAAGCCTCCATAACATTTCTCCTGGAGATTTTGACAAGAAGACTCCAGTTACTCCTGTCATATGCTCTTACCCAAATCCTCTCCTAGGGATGAACAAATGATCTAATTTCACCTGAGTTACTCATAGAGACACAAAGAAATAAAAAAGATTTACAATAAAAGTTAATGTTCATGAAGCACCCAATTATATAGTGCAAGGTGCTTTAAGTGCATTAAAAGATGTAATCCTCACAACAGTCCTGAAATACAGATATTATGATCCCCATTTACAGATGAGAAAACTAGGAATCAAAGCAGTGAAACAATTTTCCCAAGATCACACAGCAAGGAAATGATAGAAGCGGAATCCCAACACAGATTTCTATGACTCCTAAGTGCAAGTACGTTCAGTTCGACCATGCAGAGCAGTGTGATTAACCCCAAGTAGAGTTGCCAGATTCAGTAAATAAAAATATAGGATGCCCACTTAAATTTCACTTCTTTTTAATATAAGTATATTCCATGAAATATTTGCATATGAAGTCTCTGGGGCAGGATCTGGCACACAGGAGGGGCGCTGTTCCTACTACGTGCCAGAACCTATGCTGGGAGCGAATGTCCGTTCTCTCTGCTACCAGCAGCAGAGGGAAGCACTCTCATGAGGACAGAAACCAGATGAGATGGCATTAAGTCATGCTGACTGCCCGACATTTTCTACCTCCATTTGCAGCTTTTCCCTTAGTGAAATCAATGTGCACGACTACTCATGGCTTAAGATTCTGTAACATCTCCAGCCAGTGGTAAGTAAAGGGCTTAATTATCACAGTGGTGAAATCCATGGCCATGGGTGAAAGTGACACAAATGGAAAGACTGCACTGGACTCCAGAAATGGGAGGAGACAGAACATCCTGTTTTGCTATGTGTGTGTGTTTTTGTTTGTGTGTGTGCATGTGTGCGTGTGTATGGTTTTTGTAATCAATAGGAGACTGAGCTTGTGGAAAACAAAACAGGAAATCTCTCTGGACTTTGTTAGTTTCACCATCCAGGCAGTTCTTGGGAAGAAATCCTGTCTGTGAGTCTCTACAACCACTGGCTCTTTCTCAAAACCCTGAGGAACAGAATGGGGACTAGT